TTGTCATCGTGTATTTAGACAAATCTACTCTCCCTTCTGGTGATGTAATTAGGTCGAGAAGCTGTCCAGATGCAGTCTGGAACGTAACCTGAAAGCCAAAGGGATCAAAATTTAATAAGTCAGAGACATCCAACCCAATGAAGGCAGAGACAAAAAAAAAAAGAAACACAATAGCTGCCAAATAATTTCCATTTCATTTGAAACATTTTCCAAATAATTTCCTAATACGTTTAAACTTGAAATAACTTCCAAATATTTCCCAAATATTTTCCAAATACTTTCCAAATCATTTCCAGGTAATTGCCAAATATATTTCGAGCATCGAGCACCAGTCTAAAACTGCATGCACTCCCAAAACTACATGGACTTACTACTTAGCAAACCATGGCACGGTCTCAGCAAAAAAAGAACTACATGCACTTGCCAAACTCCATGCAGGATATCTGCATCAAAAGTACATGCCCTCTTCCCTGCTTGTGAGGGTATACAATTCGAACACCGAAGCTTGTTTCGACATTTTTCCTCGATGAATCCACCTTGACGAACGACCAAATGCAGTCACAAAAGTCCTCCCTAGCCTTCATATGTGTGAACACTGACTGAATAGTAAACGCTTAGCTTTATAGAGAACTCAAGACAATCGGGCAATCTTTGATTGTCAGTGCCATGGTGGTCCACTGACAAAATGAGTCTCAATGAATCTCAATGAATCTCAATGAATCTCACCCCACAAACAGGCCACAAACAGTCAGATGGCAAGAGAGCTATCGCGAGTTCGGGCGTCAAACCTCTGTGAAGAGATCCACCAGTTGAGCATAAAACGGCGCGTTCCCGAAATGCTTCTTCAGAATCCGATAGACGTGACAGTTCAGCAAGATTCCATCATTGACGGCAATGAACCCAACCTGTCATCAAAAACTGCCAGATAACAATTAGTCCATATTTGTTTGGAGTTCATATGTTTTTTTAACTTTTTTTTAGGGGGGGGACAACTTTGGACCCCTAAAGCTTAAAGGAATCTTTGTTTCGTTTTGTTTTTGTGTGCGACGGCTAGGAAGATTCTCAGGCCCGGCCGGTCCTGCCCGTCCGGGCACCCGGGCGTGACGCCCGGGGGGGTCTGACGCCCGGGGTACCCGGGCGTGCAAAAAAAAAAAAAAAAAAAGATTTTTTTTTTTTTTTTTTTGGTTTTCTGCGCTCTCCCAGAGGACTCCAAATCCGGGCTCATTTCGTTTTTTGCGAGTTGGCTGTCAAGGGGGGGGGGTTTAAAGGGGCTAAAGGGGTCTAAAGGGGGGTGCCTTTGTGTGATTCTGTTATTTTCTTTTTTATCTCCGATTCTGTGACGAATTATAATGTGATCCTCAGCCAAAAGTGGTTTGCATTTCAATCCTACACAACATATGTTTTTTGGGGAATTTTTTGAGGGTTTTTTTTTCTTTTTTGGCACTGGGGCTGCCTGGAACCCTGCCCGGGGGTCATGCCCGGCCGGGCACCCGGGCGTATACCCGGGCAGAAGTTGGGTGCCCGGGCGCCCGGGAAAACAGCCTAGTGGGACGGTGCGTGTGTTTCTTTTTTTTTCTTTTTTTTCTTTTAAGGAGTCCAAAATTTGTTTGTTTGAAGATTGTATTTTGGTTGTTTGGAGTCTCTGGAGTTTGGGTAAGTAAAGCACACAACGCAGAGACAAAGGGCCTGGCTCCACTACTCTCGAAATGTGCAAAGCGAGAGTGAAACTCCCCCGCCAGGACTTTTGACTTTTGTGGATGTCGAGAGTAGTGGAGCGAGGCCCTAAGTCCGTGAAAAGTGACATAAACTACTTTCGAGGTCAGAAGCATAATCCTCTTCACTTCTCCACGAAAGTGCATTCCCTTGTCTTCACCCCCGTGCCTCCTTCTCCGCGTCCCCAAACCCGGGTTAGACCCGGAGCCATGTCAACAAAAGTGGGACTTGCCGTTGTTGTTGTTGTTGTTGTTGTTGTTGTTGTTTTTCGAGTTCATATTTATTATTTTGTGTGTACTGAGTCCATATTTTGTTTGTTTGTTTGTTTGTTTGTTTGGAGTTCAGTAGTTACTGATCAACGTGCTTTTAGGACATCCCGCCCCGCCATGTAGGCGCACGGCCTTGGACCGCCACCCTCAGCAACAGGAACGAAGTCTCGTAACCACTACAACCCTTGGAGGTGTTATTAAAAAGTGGATCCATACCGGTCGTGATTTTTTTTTTTGGCTGGGACCTTCCCAGGTCCTTGCACGGCCGGGCCGTCCAGGAAAACAAGGTGACCCGGAAGGTCCGGATGGTAGCCTAGCTAGCATCTCATTTGTTTTTGTATTTCCAACATAGCTTAGGGGTTGGGAGTTTTTTTTTCTTTTCTTTTTTCTTTTTTTTCCCCTTCTTCTTTCTTTTTGTTTCTTCTTCCCTTCTTCTTTTTTTTGTTTTTTTTTTTTTTTGGGTGCCCACCCACCACCTTTGACTAAGATCAAAGTCACTGCAAGTATATCTGCAAATAAGATATTGTCAATTTGTGACATACAGGGCTACCAGCAGGGCCGAACAGGTTACCCTGTTTTCCCGGGCGGCCCGGCCATGCAAGGACCAGGGAAGGTCCCTACAAAAACAAAAACAAAAAAAAAAACGAAAAAAAACTATGTTATGCAGAAAAATAAACTGAACAATTTTTGCCTCAGCGTCACATCGAAATTCTTCACCAAATTTACAATAAAATTTAAAAAAATAAAATAAAAAATGATTTTATAAATTTATTATTTGTTTTTGCACGGCCGGGCAGATGGTCCCGGGGCACACTCTGGTAGCCCCGGCCACATATATATCGTCACAAAACTATGAACTAAAAGAGCGCACTTTGTGAAACAAACGACAAAGATTAAAAAAACAAGACACACAAGAGGGGCAACACTGAAACCATTCATTTTTCTCAAACGTGGCGAGCCTTGTACGTGAGAGGCACGGTAAAGGGGGAGTTGAAAAGAAGAAAGAATGAGAAAAATGAATGGTTTCAGTGTGCCCCTCATGTTTGTCTTACTTTTCAATCTTTGCCGTTTGTAACTTTGTATTGCAAAGTGCGCTCTTCTTCTTTTTTTTTTTTTTTTTTTTTTTTTNAAAAAAAAAAAAAAAAAAAAAAAAAAAAGGACATGAACACAAGGAAGTTGAAGGAACAAACACACGCCGAGAAGAACCAAAAGTTTGTTTAAAGAACACTGCAGCAGGGTTCTCACTCCTTGTGTTCACGTCTTACCGGCCGATAAAACGAGTAGAACCTTAAAAGTTAAAAGTTACAACAAAAACCTAGGCTACCAGCCGGGCCGCCCGGGTCACCCTATTTTCCCGGGCGGCCCGGCTGTGCAAGGACTAGGGAAGGTCCCAGCCAAAAAAAAAAAAAACAATTCCAAAAAATCCGAAAAAAACAAACTATGTTATGCAGAAAAATAAACTGAACAACTTTTGCCTCAGAGTCACATCAAAATTCTTTACCAAATTTAAAATAAAAAATTAAATTAAAAATTCATTATTATTATTATTTTTTTATATTTCGTTTTGGCCCGGCCGGGCAAGTGGACCGGGCCACTCTGGTATCCTAGACAACAACCAAAAAAAAAAAAAAAAAGAAAAACGCAGCAGCCGCAGTTGTCAAACATGTAAAACCGTAAATCTTTTCTTTTCCTTTCCCCCCCCACCCCCCTCCTTTTTTTCTTTTTTTTTTTAATCACACACGTAGGTCTTACCGGCAAATAAAATGAGTAGAATGCAGTCTTGTATTTCACAATCCGAAGGTAGCTGCACAAGTGATCAATTGGCCACCATAGCCACCATAGTCAGTACACTGCATGAGGTCAACTATCCATCTTCTTCCTCAGCCTACATGAAGAAGAAACGGTCTCAGTCTAGCATCAGGGATATTCATCGCACGGGGATATTCATCGCACGTTTCCTCATTCGAGGCTTTTGAGAAGTTTCGACTCTTCTCATGGGAACCGACGGAAGGTTAATTTTCTGTCGACGAATCTGACGATGCAATAAATAAGCATGAAGTCCAATTTAATGGGACATCCATTAAATTGGAACGAAACAGAGAAGGGTAATTACTAATTAGCGAAATGGCTCCTGCACAACGATGACACGCACAAATTTTGAGAAATGGTCCAAAATTAAAATCAAAAATTCAAAATTGAAAAAAAGAAAAAAACGAACAGCATAACTGCTGGGGACAGATCAAAAAGAGAGAACAGTTTCAACTTTCAGTTTACCGGCAGCTGATTGCTTCCAACTTTCAAGTTTCGGCTTTCCACATTTCGATTTCACATTCTTCAAAGGACGTTCAGACCATACTTGCGGCGGGCGCATATGTGCGGTGCAGTGCGCGCAGCGCGATGCGCTCATCGCTGATGCGCGAAAAAGAAAAAAAGGAAAAGAAGAAGAAGCATCACGCCATGATGTGTAAACATGAGAGAGAGAGAGAGAGAGAGAGAGAGAGAGAGAGAGAGAGAGAGAGAGAGAGAGAGAGAGAGAGAGGAGGCAAGAAGAGGGGAAGGGAGGGAGCAGGAGAAAGAGGAGGGTAGAGAGGGGAGATAAGAAGGAGGACAACGAGGAAGGAAAGAAAGATAGAGGAGAGAGGCAGACATAGGGAGGAAGGGCTGTCTCTTATACACATCTAGATGTGTATAAGAGACAGGAATGGGGCCATTGTCTTATTAAAAAAAAAAAAAAAAGTTGAGTGAAAAAACCTACCAAGAACTCAGAAACATCTTGCTTCTACTCAGAGACACCAAGGTCTGCGGCATACGCCACCACCACAGGGGCAATCAACGAACTCACCTCAATTCGGCTTGTTTGCTCCTCGTTAGCCGACTCCAAAGCTTTCACAACAAGCCATGAGCATTTGCTATCTTCAATATCCGTCCCCACCTGGTCGGTACCAAGCACTCACCAAGCAAAAAAGAAAACCGGTTGGATAAGCTGCACGTATATGAAGTTATGAACCTGCAGTAAAAAAATGCTGCAAAACAACAACAGAACTTACTCCTCTCCCCATTCTCCCCCCTTCAAGAACTTCCTTATGATTTTTTTTCCTTATGATCGATCACCTTCTCGTCCTTATTCAATTCCTCATGCGCCGATAAAGGTGTTGAGATGCACACATTCACATGCAACTTGATGCAAGTAATCGGTCACATCTGGTAAAATTGCAATCATACAGAGTAGATATATTATCTATCACGGCCCCTGTGCACGCACGGATGACATGGAGTTAAAAAAAAAAGGTCACATCTGGTAAAATTGCAATCATACAGAGTAGATAGATTATCTATCACGGCCCCTGTGCACGCACGGATGACATGGAGTTAAAAAAAAAGCCGCAGACCCCACATTGTGAGACTCCATGAACTAGAAAGTCGAAAGTAAAAACGGATGATACCAACGGGCCTAGTTCAGTTGGTACACCCATGAACTGCTGAGATACAGATCCAGGTTCCAAATGAGATGCAAGCACATGCAACCAATATAATACTGAGTTACCTTGAGGCAGGTCAGCAGCTCAATGATGATCTGAAAACGGATCTTATGCCCCATTTTTAAAAAAAAGAAGAAAAAAAAGGGGAGAGAAGGCACACCTTGCATGACAGGAAGAGAAGGGGTAGACTGCTGGATAGAGATGACGAAACAAGAGGGTATTCTGAAGCGGGCTTTGAGTACAGCTCAAGACCGCTGAGGTAGTGCAGGGTGGTGTAATATAGGCAAGAGGAGATAACTAACTGAAGTGAAGCGCGTTGGGTTGGGTAGAATTGGGTGGGGTATGTAATATGGTAGGGTAGGGTAGGGTAAGAATTAAACAGGGTGTCAAACTCAGAGTTACGCAACTTATGTTCGTCTGTGATCTTAGGCATGCTCAACTGTTGTGCCTTAGGAGCTTCCTTGGGACTCAGATGATCGACTGTTGTGCTGAGGAGCTCTACCGGGAGCCAGTAAGGGAAGGATGGTGTTTGCACAGCTGGAACCATCAGCTAATCGCTCTTTTTTTTTTTTTTTTTTTTTCCCAGAAAGGTTGTGTAGGCTGAGAGGTATAGGCAGGCCCTCCTACCCTGACGGCCAGTAATATAACCATACTCCCACGACTAGTAATCGCTCTTGTTAATCTCCATCAGATCACAAATTGCACAGACATCTGGAGCTAAACACTGCATCCCACATCTGTACAAAGCTGGAACCATCAGCTAATCGCTCTTTTTTTTTTTTTTTTTTTTCCCCAGAAAGGTTGTGTAGGCTGAGAGGTATAGGCAGGCCCTCCTACCCTGCCGGCCAGTGCTATAATCGCCCTCCCACGACTAGTAATCGCTCTTGTTAATCTCCGTCAGATCACAAATCGCACAGACATCTGGAGCTATGCACTGCATCCCACATCTGTACAAAGCTTAGCTGCTGCACACATGGTTGGAGAAGGACGAAGATAGAGATAGACAGAGTAATAGTGCTTGCTATGTTGTTGTTGTTGTTGCTGTTGTTGTTGTTGTTGTTGTTGTTGTTGTTGTTGTTGTTGTTGTTGTGGTTGTTTTATTACACGCTATGTCAATAGAGGGTCACAGGTATTGCACCGGTTTCTGGCAGTCCGAGAGTGGACAACTCAGGCTTATTGTAGTCTCTCTCTACTTTCACGAGGAGGAAATATTCTATCCAATGGTGGTTTAGGGCATCGTCTGTGATCGTTGTGGCGTTGAACAAGTGTTCTTAGAGAGAGAGAGAGAGAAATGGGACGGTTATCATTCACTGCGGTCGGTTGTTCCGTGGTCCAAAATTCTCCAAATACTATTGGCAATTTGGCAGCTGATTGATGGGAATCGAGAAGAGTATGTAATCTGCATGCACAGTTAAAGAGTGTTATAAAACAACCACCACCTGTGTGCGTTCCTACGGCGCCTTTCTGAACCTGACTACCGTCTTCACCCGAATAGAACACCCGGTAATTATCGCCGTTTCTGGGCTGAAAGTTGTGCCAAATACAGCTATAATGACCGGGCGTTCTATTCGGGTGAAGACGGTAGTTCACTCAGTCTTCAACTTCGTCAGCAGTTCTGTCCACCTCAGCAGTTTATGGATGTCATCATGTCAGTGAGCAAGTGAGCTGCGCGCGAAGGACTGGTCCGTTTATGCACCACCCGTGTTTCGATCGTCTCTCCATGTATAGCATCAAGCCGGCAAACGCAGTGGGCATGAATGAGAATGCAAGGACGCCGTGCATGGTTCCGTCTTCTGGCCGGTGATGGGCTTTCCATGTGTAGCATCAAGCTGCCGCCGCAATGGGCGCAGGAACGCAATGGCCGCATGAATGCGAGCATATCGTGCATGGTTTTCGTTTTTTGCAGGTCACGGGCTTTGTGTCAGCTTATGCGTGTGTGTTAATTGCAGTTTCCACTCGATGGTTGTAATTGCAGTTGGCTGGAGAGGTGAGGAAGAATTGCAGTTGTATACGAACACAATAAGCAGTGTACGTTTGCCATCGGGAAAAAAAATTATAATAAAAAAAAATCAACTCAGTTCATAACTTCATTTCATTTTTTCTTGTCAGCCATGCCAACCAAGGTGTTGACAAAATCCGCAGAGTCGATTTCAAATTTTGAAATTTCAATTCAATGCGTTTCCTCTTCTTGTCAGTTCTTGAGGATGTTTTTTACTTCGAAAAGATCGCACAGTATGTTGATAAAATGTCAGAAAGTTGCAGCAACGATTATTTCCCCCTGGAGCGAGTGACAGATCAAGAGCACAACACAAGCTCACGGGCAAAAGAGTTGGCGGACAAAAGAGCACCCCTCACGACCACCATTTACCAAATTACCACATGCTACAACAAGAAAAGGGAAAAAAAACTTCAGAAGACTTTAAAAAAAACAAAAAAAACTTAAATTTGTTTCCGACAGACAAACCTTGCCAATGTAGTCCGGGTCACCATAGCAGTCCAGAAAATCGTCCTGCATGTCGAATGCCAGGCAGTTGGACTCAGTTTCATGCAAACAAGAATGTAGAATTTCTTTTGGTAATAGGCAGTTGGACTCAGTTTCATGCAAACAAGAATGTAGACTTTCTTTTGGTAATACTACGTTTACTAACTTTTATAACAATTTGAGTATAATAATACTATAATTTATTTATTTTTTGAATAAAAAAGTTAGAAATTTTCAAAAGCCTCTGAAAGAAACAAGTGAAAAATAAGAGGGGAAAAAAAAAAAAAACCCTTTGAAAAAGTCGGAAAAACAAAGGCTAGAAGAGTCGGGCTCACGCTTCCTGAAAATCAACCACGAAAAAAAGGCTGAATTCATTCCAGTTTGCCACATCGCCAACTCATACTTCTGCTGAGGCTCTCACTCAAAATGAACAAGACGCTCAGCAGCGAGATCCAGGTTGATCGGGTCAATTATGATTGATTAACATACATAAATGTCTGCCATACAAAACGACTTGCGAGCCTGCCGTACAAGTCCGAAAATGGCTGCCAAAAAAACAAATCCGTACACGGGTTACTTCTGCACAGCAGCCGCGTCGTGGTCGCTGGAGTTCCGCAATCCCCAGAGAGTCTCCTAGAATGACTGAAAAAACATGACGACGTTTAAAGCGCCATTCCAAAGCCCCAGCTTTTGCAAAATTGCTTCATGCGCTACAGCTAAAACTTCGCAGGCTCAGGCGGCGCCACCAGGCGCGGGTGTACCCGTGGTTTCACACCCGAGAAAGCCTGTTCCCTTCTCGGAATGTGAAATTCCTGTACTGCAGCATACGCACGGGTACACACGGGTACACACGGGTACACAGTAATGTTTTTTTGCCACCTTTCGCCACCGGGATCCGCTGACACCAGTTCCTCAACATGCTGCAGCAGAACTACCGTCGTCACCCAAATAGAACGCCCACTGGGCACCAGATACAAGGGGAGGGGGGGGGGGGCGCAACCAAAATTAGGATGGAAGCTCACTGACGGAACCTGTGCGCACGGCAATTTGACACTGGAAGCCTCACTGGGACCGGCTCCCACACGAGAGTCTAACATTAGTCAAAGCTCTGACTGAAGCACAGGACTTAAAGGTAGACGGGAGCCCTCAGACAGGGTATATTAAGTAGAGTTAAGGCAAAAGGTTCAAGCTTGGAGGACCAGCCTCGCTACTGTAGAACTTCAAGGGTTAGTCTACAAGGCTAGAAACTGGAGGACCAGCCTCGCTACTCTAGAACTTCAAGGGTTAGTCTCATACATGCAAGCGCACGCCGTGCGGGCGGTTCCCTACGTGCGGCGCACGCGCCCAACCGATCCCGTGCGGCGCACGATGTGTGCGGAGAACGACCCGTCACCCCCCTCAGAAAAAAAAAAGGCCGGGGTCAAAACGGTGCGTTTGAGGCCCCCCGCCAAAATTATAAGCGAGATGAATTTCTTTTTTTCAGGAGTACTTCCTCACCTTGCTCCTCCTCCCCTTCCTCATCCTCCATGTCTCCTCCTCCCTTCTCCTTTTCGTCTCCTCCCCCTCCTCCTCCTCCTCCTCCTGTTCGTCCTCCTCCTCCTGCCCTTCCTCATCCTCCTTGTCTCCTCCTCCTCCTCGTACTTCCTCATCTTCAATGCCTCCTCGTCTCCTTCCCTTCCTTGTGTCCTCCCCTTCCTCGCCGTCCATGTCTCCTCCTCCCCCTTGTCCTCCTCCCCCTGCCCTTCCTCTTTTCCCTCCGTCCATCTCTTCTCCTCCCCCATCTCGACTCCTCCTCCTCATCGTCCTCGCTATCCTCCTCGTCCTCCTCATCCACATCCTCCTCCTCCTCTCCATATCCCCCTCTCCTTGCCATATCCCCATCTTCCTGTCATACGCCCCCCTTTCCCCCTCCCAAAAAAAGATAAAATAATAATAATAAAAATAAAAAACCTGCACGATTCCGCACAGGCACCCCCCGCACGGAACTCAGTACGGAACTCTGCACGAATGTGCGGCTCGTGCGGTTGCAAGTATGGTTAGTCTACAAGGCTAGAAACTGGAGGACCATAGGAGGCTGGTCCTCGGCCTTCAATTTCAATATATTCATAAAATACTTGTTCAAAAAAAAAAAAAAAAAAAAAAAACGGTGCCCCGTCCTTATAGCTGCATCTGGGCTGGCAAGTGCCACTAACACAGCTATAATGGGCCGCGCGTTCTATTTGGGTGAAGACGGTAGCTTTCGTTTTCCACAGCGATCCTTGACCGGGCACTCTATTCGGGTGTAACGACGGTATCCCATCTTTGACTGGGCACTCTATTCGGGTGAAGACGGTATCCCTAAAGCTTCATGCAACACACCAAACACCCCATACAGTGGCCAGAGCAGCAGCAGCAGCAGCAGCAGCAGCAGCAGCAGCAGCAGCACCGAATGGAGGAGCAGCAGTAGGGCTGCACCTGAAAACTATCGACTTTGGTGCTTTACAAACAGAAAAAAAAAAATGCAGGGCAAACTGTGACTATTTTAGGAAAGAGAGGCTAACAGACAGATCAGCCACATCGCCCATGGCTGCAATTTATAGTAACTTTATAAGTTTATACCCTAAACCTGCCCGCTACGGTAAGGCGGCGAACCATGGGGCAGACTCTGAGCTTTCCAAGTGAAAAAAAAAAAGAGAAAGGATTAGGATTAGGATTGCCGTCACCTGGGCTTGAAAGTATGTGCCCATTTGTACAAGGATGCCATTGGCAGTCGCAAACCGCTCTTGGTCCTTTTCCCCCGCCAGAACCATCGCACAGGCAACCTGAGTCAAGCAGTCGGACATGCCAACCCCACATCATGATGGTGATCAGCCCTGCATACAATCTTCTTATCAATTTGAAATTTATCCAGTTATGAACAGGCAACAGGGCTCATCTATTTCGAATGCGCATGGTCTCATCGCTTTGAAAGATATAAAAAAGAAAAGTCATGAAGACATAGAAGGTCAAAAAAAAAAAAAAAAAAAAAAAAAAAAAAAAAAAA